AATGCCTCCTCCATGAATTTAAATTATGAGCATTGAATATACGGACGGGTATAGTGTAAAGACCAACCCAGAAAATAATGGGGTTTTTGTTGTTGTTTTTTGAGACACGGTCTTGCTATGTAGTTCAGGCTGACCTCGAACTCACAGCCATCCTCCTGCTCAGTGTCCCCAGCCTGGGGTTACAGGAGTGCTACAGGCATGTGCTACCATGCCCAGCTGACAATACTGGTTTTAATTCTCCTAGGACTGTGGACTCCCTTAGGTCGCTGCCTTGAGATATGATGAGTGTCATTTACATGGTGTACAATGACAGTGACATTCCAGGATTATGTAACTGCATGGTTTGGAAAGAGAATGGAGTGGTGACGAGCACAAGCTTTGGAGTGAAATAGAACCGAGTTTAAGTAGCAGCTCTTGCTGCTTTCTGCTAAGCTCTTGGGCAAGTTACTCAACTTCTTAAAGCTTTAGTTTCCTCATTTGCAAAATGGAAATAATAATGCCAGTCTCAGAAGGTTGTGAGGAGGAAATGTATCACAGCCCTCAGTGGGGGGCCTGGTGCTCAGTCAGTGTGACAAATTGTTATCAAATGGCTTCATTACAGCTCTTTCCCACAACTACTATGTCATTATGTTCCCCAGCAGATGAAAACCCATTGAAGGCAGGAAGTGTATCTAATTCATCTTCACATCTTTAAGTATTTAATTTCTAACTTGGTTTTCCTTCCTACTTACTGCCTTGTGTCTTTTGCTTAGTAAAATAAGTACTGATTAAAATAAGAGCAATAACAACAATTTTTATTATGAATAATTTCAGACTTACACTAGAGGGACCAATGAAGCAGAGAGGAAGAGAAAAGGACTGAGATGCCGCAATCACCTTCAAGGTCATGCCCCCAATCACAAGGTTCTCCTAGTAGGCCTGTGTCTTAGTTACTTTCTCTTTGCTGGGACAAAATATCAGACATCCACAAGTTAAATGATGAGAGGTTTATTTTAGCTTACAGTTTACAGAGATTTCAGTTTATAGCTGGCTAAGACAGGGCAGCATAGCAGAGGAGAAACAGTCCATGGCATGGTAAGCATGAGGCAGCACATCTTCCTTCTTTCCCTTTTTATTCTATCCAGGCTGCAAGCCTATTGGTTGGTCCCACTCACACTCAGGGTGGGTCTTCCCTCTTTAGTAAGTCTATCATCCACACCTAGAGCTATGCTAAACTAATCAGTGGACTAATCAAGTATTATACACCCATGATCCAGTCACTCCCAAAGACCTCACCTATAAGTGCATGAGGCTTTGGAGAGGACATCTAGATAAAGCCATAATAGCCTGCCATAGTTTAGATAAGAAACCTTCTTCAAAGGCCTATTAATGGAAGGTTTGGTTCCCAGCCAGTGCAGTTACTGGGAGGTCCAGCCCACTGGGAGGAAGTTAGACCATTAGGTATGTGCCCTCAAAGGGAATATTGGAACACCAGCCCCTTTCTCTTTCTGCTTCCTGACTGTTACAAGGTGAACAAGTTCTTTTGTCATGTGAACCTCCTAGGATGTGCTGCCTCATCACGGCCTCCAAGGTAATAGGGTGAAATGAGTATGGACTGAAGCCTCCAAAACCATGAGCTAAAATAAACCTTTCTTCTTGGCTGATTGATTGATTTAAGATAAGGTCTCACTTTGTACTTCACACTGGCCTTGTACTCACTTTGTATTTCAGGCTGGCCTCAAACCTGTGGTGATCTTCCTGCCTCAGCCTCCCTAGTGCTGGGAGTAGAAGAGTGTGCCACCACGCTTGGCACCTAGCTGAGATATATTTTAAAATTTAAAATCTAAGCCAGGCATTGTGCCACATGCCTACAATCCCAGTACTCATGAGGCTGAGGCAGGAGGATCATGAGTTTGAGGTCAGCCTGGGTTACATATGAAGTTCAAGGCTGGGCTGGACTATATAGTGAAACCCTATCTCAAAATAAAAAACAAACAGATGAAAACTTAGTATCTGTATCAGTTCTCCCGCCACTCTACTTCTCCATAATATTACTTATTAAAGAAACTAGGTAATTTGTGGGATTTTCCACACTCTTAGCTAGACTGATGATACCATACTACCTTGTTGTCTTCTGTTTCTTACCCTCCAAATTTCTTATCATCTGGTAGTCAGTTTGGTAGCAGTTTGATTACATTCAGAGTCAAGTTGTGTACAAGGATAATTCATAGGCAGTCTGTGTATTTCCTTCCTGTTCTATTACATCAGGTGACATACTTCAGCTGGTTGTCTCACTTTCAGTGATGTTAACATAAATCAGTGGGTTCAAATTTTGTTAGCACAATCTAGCCATTATAAAGTTTCTCATCCACCATTCACCTTGTAACTTGAATGGCCATTGATGATCGTTGCCTATTCCAATACTTCACAGGGAAGAAATAATGACTTTCTAATTATCCAATTCTCTTGCATTTATCACCTTTACAAATTATTTAGGTAGCTTGAAATATTTAGTGAATAAATGCTTAATTTCTTCTCTTTTTTTTTGGTACAGAGGATTGAACTCAGGACCTTGTGCTTGCGACGCAGGTTCTGGAACCACTGAGCTAAATCCCCGGCTCAATTTCTTCCTCTTATTTACCAGTTTTTAAAATATAATTGGTTGCTTAGGTGATCAAAAGATGAATGATGGGGGATTTTAAGTATTACCATGAATTCATTGATTTGTATATATTTAATATGTGTACTTCATATTATTCTTTTCCTGTCAAATTGTTCCATCTTTAGCCAAAGGGGACGATTTCATCTTGATTCTTGGGTTCTTTTGGCAGTCACCTTGATTTCGGACATAACAGAATGCCAGATTAATCTTGTGTGATTCCTCTTTCAGTTCCAAAATTAGGCATTCCTTAAGCAAAGGATGATGAGTCCCATATTAGTGACAAAGGGCATTTCCACATGAATTGGGACACTGGTGATGCTCATCGCTAGTGCTCATTGCTTCTTGGGCTTTTTAGTGGACATAACTAATATATACATATTTTATAGTGAGAAAAATTAATCACGAATTCATACTGACGTTGCCCATTCAAATTTCAGATTATCCAATTTATACCTAATTTCATTTGTTTAATAATCTCTTTTATCTTTAATTGAAAGTTTGGATACTAATTTTAGATTTTCACTTATTTGCTATTTTATATACACATGTTATAGATAATACACATAATAGCATCTGGATAATAATACCATTATACTACTAAATGTAGTTTATTTCTTTGCCATCCTCTTTTGTCCTTAGCATATGTCACACTACGGACATATAGTCAAATTAATGAGCTTTAAAGTCAGTTTCCTACTTCTCTATGAGGTCATACCAGTCAGTCAATAACCCCTTTGATTTTTTTTTTTGGTACCGGGGATTGAACTCAGATACTTGAGCTTGCAAGGCAGGTGGCAGAACCACTGAGCTAAATCCCCAGCCCTCATTTTGATTTTTTTTGTCTTTAGGAAATGTTTTGTTATTTTCTTCAAAAAAAAAAATTATACATGAGGCCCCGAGTTCAAACCCCAGTACAGCAAAAAAATAAAATATTTACATGATTCCAAACTCAAAACTATAAATTGCAGGGTACACAGAGAAGTCTAGTTTCTACTCCTATTTTCTTCACTCTGTTCTGCTTATATGTAATGTTTTTATTAGTCTGTAATTTATACACCATTGCTTCTCCTTTAACCTAAGGAAATGCACACACCATTGTCGCTTTTGCCCAGGTTTCTTACAAGAAGGGCAGAGTGTGCACGGCCACGAGCCTGTGCTTTTCGCTTAATACATCTTTCAGCTCACAGTACAGCAGAGATGGTCCTCTGTCCCTGAGCGGCTGCGCAGAGCTGCATTGTGTGACGTAGAAGTTTATTCAGCCAGTCCTCTGGAGATGGACATGTGGGCTCAATAAACGTTTACTGCATGACTAAATTGTGCCAGGCACTAGGGATAAAGACGTGGCTGCTGGTTGCAGGAAACAGTGTAGAGATGGTGAACTCTACAATATGAGTACTTTCCTCACACCCAAGGGCGAGCTTGGATCTACTTGGATCCACAGGAGGCAGGGGAACAGGGAAGAAACGCTCACACACGAAGGCTACAATAACTGCCTGTTGATCGCATCATGCTCCGCGTGGGTCTTTATACGGGAAAGTATCAGGAGATGGAATTGTCAAGAAAATCTTAAGTGCCACCAATTGGTCAGAGAAGGGAAGACCAAATGAAAGAGCCTGAGAGGGAATATCCTAACTACCAAATCCTCCGGAAAAAGAAAATGTTAATACCCCGGTATAGAACTTCCCTCTGACCATCATTCTAAGAATCAGTTTACACATATTTAAGTTCCAGGCATCTCATAACAATTCTGAGGTAGGTTTACCTATCATTACCCACGTTTCCTCCTCCAACTGAAATATCCAAGTACAGACCTCTGGCTTGCCAAACTTTTGCCCCAAGGTCACAACCAGAAGCTAAGCGGGACAGGACCCCACCCCCAACGCAGAACCCCACCACAAAACCACATTGTACTTGTAGAAAAGTTAAAAGAATCCTCCAAGTTCAGATCAGACGGGTAATGTGCCGACACCGTAACAAGGTTTGAGGGAGGCACATCTCACGCATACAGCATGAACACCCAATCATCACACTCATGAACCGAAGGATCGTGGAAGAGCTTCCGTTACGAACACCCAGGTATATGTCACCAATTTTACAGAAAGGGTGACCACCATAGTGCAGGCAGTCAGTCTTTATATACAATCTTCTATGCAGTTAAAAATTAGCGTTGCTATCCCTGATAATTCTTTTGTTTTTCTCTTAAAAATAAAACACAAGCAAAATTAGAGAGTGGATGCTTATCTATGCAAATATATTCGCCCTGGCTCCACCTTTTCTGCCTTTTTCCTGCCAGGATTCTTCTGGCTTTACGACTTTGTGTCGTGAAATGAAGTGTTATGGCAGTATTGGCGGAAGCGAGTCTTGAGTTTTACGGCAATGATGTTCTCTGGGGCCGGATGTTGCTGGGCACAGATGGTGTGCGGGAAGGGCTGCAGGTACTGGTGGTATTGTTCGTGTCATGGCCCAGCAGTTTATTTCTTAAACTTTTTTTTCCTCTTTTCTCTTTTTGCGCCTCCAGAAAGAGTATTTTCTCCACCGCATCAAGTCTGAAACTAGCAGAAAGGCCCCTTTCTCTTATTCACACTTTATTATCCCGCTCAGCCTCGCCCTTCTGCTCCAAGACATCTTGTCTCTTTATTTTATTTGTTGTTACTTGTTCTTTGGGAGAATTCCAGCCTCGGAGTCATCCGCTCTTCTTTGTTGGGTTCCACCCGGCTCCAGTCTTGGTCTCTGGGTGACGGGGAGGAGCTGACGGGCTCCTCCGCGCTGAGGAATGGAACTTGACGGCGCTGAGACTTCGCGGGAAGGCGCTTCTTTGCCTGGAGACCGGTCTCCCTCTGCCCTCGGGCACGCCTTCTCCAAGATTTTGCTTTATCTTACCGGCCTGGAGGCACGAAGGCGCAACACAAGAGATATCTCTTTTAAAGACCTCATTGCTCTAATAGAAGCCACAGAATGTGACAGATTATTTGAGAGGGGTGGTGAACCTCACCACAAAATGCCGGAGACACTGGGGGAGGTGGCAAAAGCCCTGGAGAAGTATGCAGCCCCACCCAAGGAGGAGGAAGGGGAAGGTAACGGTTACTCTGAGGTGGCCGAGAAAGCAGCAGAAATTGGACTGGTATTTCTTAAGCTCTTGGGGAAAGTTGAGGATGCCAAAAATTCTCTGGTCTGCCCTGCGTGGAAGACAGGCCTGCGTCACTTGGCAGGACCTGTCTATGTTTTTGCCGTCACACACAGCTTAGAGCAACCATGGACCAGCCCAAGATCTCGGGAGGTGGCAGGACAGGTGCTTGCCTTTCTGCTTCAAATTACTGAATGCAGTTCTGTGGCAGGGTTCCTATGCGGGGAAAACGAAGAGGACAAAAGGAGATTTACTGTGATCCTGGGGCTTCTCAAACCCACTTTGAATAAGTAAGTACTTCTGCCCTTTGTCACTGACTTGAGCTTTGGCCTAAAGTTTTAGAGCTCAAGGGAACTTGAGTTTCTTCATCAGAAAAATAGGGATGTTGTTTTCTTTTGTTTTTTGGTACCCGGGATCGAACTCGGGTCCTTGCGCTTGTGCAGCGGGTGGTGAAACCACTGAGCTAAATCCCGGGCCCAGAATAGGGATGTTGTAATTGCAGATCTTTTAAAACCTGGAGAGTTTGTGATTTGCTAAAAATAAACTATCTAGAAACTAGCAAATTTGAGGTTAGAACCCAGTTTCCAGCCCTGAACAGTTGCCTTTGAAAGTTGGAAATTTTGATTAGTGATATGGAAAATTGGAAATTCTGCCCATCTGTCTGGAATTAAGTATCTTGTTAGGTGAGAATGGGGGTTTGAAGAGGATTTAAACTTATGTTTTCAATTTAAACCTAGATGTTTTTATCAGTCTTTGTTTGATTTTTTATTTTTTGGTACCAGGGATGGAACTCAGGACCTTGCACTTGCTCAGCAGGCACTGGAACCACTGAGCTAAATCCTGGCCCCTAAAACCTAGATATTTTTTAATTCATTGCTTGTTATTAAGGAAGCAATATTTGAAATGAAAAAGTAAAAACCTTTTAGATTACTATTAGGTAAAATACTTTTTGTGAGTTTCCAGTTGTTATTTTGTTTAGTATCTGTAGCACTGAAGTAATGAGGAAAAAGGTCCATAACTCATTTTCTCAGGAACTTGGAGTTAAAAGGCTTGGATTTGAGACTAGTAGTGCTTCTAATTGCTGAGTAAGACAAGATTATAGCTTCTCTGAATCTCAGTTTCACTTGCAATATAAAGATAACATGCCTACTATTTTGAGGATTAGTTGAGTCATTTTATAAGCTATAAATTGATGTTCAGATGTTGATTCATTTGTTCCTTTATAATAATAATGTTAGACATTTCCCTTCTCTCCTATCTCAGCACCATCTTCACTGGGTAAATTATGTAAATTGTTTTAATGCACATCATAAAATGTATAACCATATCTTTGTTGTAAAATCATGGGTTTTGGGGGAGAGAAAGGGTACTGGAGAGTGAACCCAGGGCTTTGTGCATACTAGGCGATCATTTCAGTGCTGAGCTATATCACCAGCCCTCCCCCTTTTTTGTTGTTTTTTTCTTTTGTGGTACTGGGGATGGAACCTAGAACCATCACACTGATCTAAATCTCCAGCCCTATTTATTTATCTACTTTGTTTATCTACTTTATTTTGAGACTTTATTTTATCTCACTAAGTTGCTAAGTTGTCCTGGCTAGTTTTGAACTTGTGACCCTCCTGCCACACCTCCCAGTGTGGGAGTTACAAATGTCCACCACCACATCCAGCCTCCAGCCCTTTTTTATTTTTATTTTGAGATAACATCTCACTAAGTTGCTTATTAGCCTGGCCTGAAATTCTTCATCCTTCTGCCTCCCTTTTTGAGTAGCTAGGATTATAGGCATGGGCCACCACACCAGGCTGACCTGATTAATTTTCTTCCCTAGTTAATATTCTGTCACTGTACTTAGTGTGATTAATATTGTACTTAATATTCTGTCACTGTACTTAGTGTGATTTCATGTATCCATTTAGGGAATCCTGGAAGAATAACCCTGCTGTCAAACACGTTTTCTCATGGACTCTGCAACAAGTCACTCGGCCCTGGCTAAACCAACACCTAGAGAGGATACTCCCCCCATCCTTGCTCATTTCAGATGATTATCAGACTGAGAACAAAATCCTAGGTGTACGCTGCCTACATCACATTGTGCTTAATGTGGTAAGCAGTCTCTACTGTCACCTGCATTTATGAGACAGACTGACTCATTATTGGCTATTCTTTATGATATAACTATTAATTTTGCTTATATTTATTTTAAATCTTTTATTAACTAGCTTTCTGTTAACACTGTTAAGTCATTAAATTCACTTATTTATGTATTTCTCCTTAAACTTTCCTTCTGCCAACCTTGTAGAACCTGTACTTTTTTTTTCCCCATACATTTTAAGGTAATATAGTTAAAAGGGTAATTATGTGCCTTGGGGTGTAACTCAGTGGTAGAGCATGTGCTTAGTTAGCATGCTAAGGTCCTGAGTTTCATCCCCAGCCCAAAAAGACCCCCCCCAGCAACAACAACAACAACAACAACAACAACAACAACAACTTGGGTAATTACAGAAGAAATAGGAAGCGCATCATTACCAAAATGAATCACTAGTCCTTGAGTGATTAACAGTTGACTTTCAAAAAGCAAAAAACAAATCAGAACCTGAAAGGGACTGTACAAAATCTGTAAGGTATTACTCAAACTTTTTTTTTTGACTTTATATTATGGAGCTTTCAAAATATATACAAAAATAAGCCAGGCATGGTGGTGTATGCCAGTAATCGTAGCACTTGGGAGGCCAAGACAGGAAGATTGTGGCAAGTTTGAGGCCAACCTGGGCTACATAGTGAGTTCCAGGCCGGCCCGAACTACACAGCAAGACCCTGTCTCAAAAAAAAAATTATCTAAATAAATATACACAGAAATCTCCATATTATCTATAATCCAATTTCAAAAATTATCAACAAAAATGATCAAGATCTTGTCAATTTGGGGAAAGCTTTCTTTTAACTGGATAATTTGTCTGATTGCAGCCGGTTGCTGATTTGCTGCAGTATAACAGAGCCCAAGTCCTCTATCATGCCATTTTCAACCATCTGTACATGCCAGAGTACCACCTCATTGAGGTAACTGTACGATTTATACATACCTATCTGGGTTCTCTAAATCGGAGGAGAAAATGGTATTACATAATAGGAAATAGTTGTGAGACATTTTCTTTTCTTGGAAATTGAGGATGATAACTAAAAGGTGTTGGTTGCCGAGTTAAATATATCTCCAAGACCAAGCAGGCATTTGCATTCTTGAAGCTTCACAGAAAAGTTTTGTCTTCATGTGGATCAGTTATATATTACTTGGAGGTAGCTTTATATCTGAAAATACTTTATTTTTATTAATTTAAATGTTCTTCTGTGCTGCCTTACATCAACACATGTATTCAAAACTCTTTGCATGTAGATTTTTTAGTGCCATTTATTCTTTTTATTCAGCAGACATTACTATATGCCAGTAACTATAGGTTCCAAGGATAAGTGAATTGGACAGAGGTTTTGGCTTTAAGAGACCCTTTGGAAGGACATTGGTGGAAATGGATATCCTGTATACATATATCTACATCAAAATATCATGCAGTGATAACTGTGTTAGAAGAGGTTTGTATGAAGTGCAGTGGGTGTTCAGTTAGGCAACTAACCAGGTTTAAGATGCTGTTGGGGGTGGTTTAAGGAGACTTTGGAAGGAAGCCTTATGGAGGATGTTTGCTTAGGAAGGGTGAATGGGACTTTCTGAGGGGGGGAGTATTCGGAATACAGAAGAAGCAAGTTACATAAAACTAAAGGTAGGAAAATTCCCTACGATGAATGTTATCATTATTAGTATCTAAAACTCACCAATAAATATTTTGCTTCAAAAAACAATTAGAGGTAGTGACATCTTTTGTGTGTGTGGGGATGACACTGAAAACTTCAGATGGAGTAGTCAAATTTGATATAAATTTGGACCATCTTAGATTCTGTGTAGGAGTGTTTTTATTAAAAGTATATGTAAATTCTGTGTATTATTAAGTCACTTAGATTTGTGATTTAGTGACAGTAGGCATAAAATCCTAAAGTGTGGGTTAAAGTCCCCATTCTGTCATTCTTCCTAGTTTATAAATTAGCAAAGAATTGTCCTGAGGACAAAATATTAACTTGAGACTGTCAGAGGGAGACAAAGAATATGAACAGTGTGAAAATTTAAAGTAATATGCACTTAACCCATTTATGCCGAAGATTGAAATTTTTTAATTTTTGCATAAAATGCATATGTTACCTAGAAAAATTCAAGGAACAAGATTTTGAAAACATTTCATCATGTTCTGCTGTTATGGATATTCCAAAAATGGATCACTAGGTATGGAAGGGTTAATATATTAATTGCTGATGTCTTAGAATTCTATGACATATACCTTAAGGACAGTAAGTAGGTTAATGAAGTTTTTTTAAAAAATTGGAAGTGTTGTGAATGGAAATGGATGAACTATAAATCTTCTTTCCATTCCTGCCTCCTAGGCTGTGCTCTTATGTCTGCTGGATTTATTTCCTGTCCTGGAGAAAGCCCAGCACTGGAAGGGAGATGCAGCCCGAACCACCACACACTGTGATGAGGTGCTGCAGCTGATCCTGACCCACATGGAGCCAGAGCACCGCCTGCTTTTGCGCAGGACTTACGCAAGGAACCTACCAGCCTTCGTGAGAAGGTGAGTGCTTGGGCTGCTGGCCTGCCATTTGCCCCAACTTTCACTCTTTGGTGTCACATCTTCTCTTTTGTCTTTAGGTTGGGGATCCTAACCGTCCGGCATTTAAAGAGGCTAGAGAGAGTCATCATTGGTTACCTGGAGGTGTATGATGGGCCAGAGGAGGAGGCTAGGCTGAAGATACTGGAAACCCTAAAACTTGTCATGCAGTACAGTTGGCCCAGGTACAGCAGTTATAGCATCCAGATAGGTGCGCCGAAAAGGAGAAAACTTAGGCAGTTTTCTCTGCAGAACTTGCCCAGGACTGCATTCAATGCAGAGCAGTAAGAGCATGTTACATATTTAAATTACCTTCTATTTTCACACACTTGTGAGATTTTGAACTGAAAAAATACCAGTAGAAAGTTAAACTATATCCCAAATGACTTAGATTGGTGTTCTGAAGACTCTTCTCCAAGTTACTTTTTCTTCGCACTGGGGATCAAATGCAACATCTTTATACAGAGCTACATCCTCAGCTTTGAGGCAGGGTCTGAGTTGTGCAGGCTGGGCTCAAACTTGGCAGACCTCCAAGCCTCAGACTCAGATTGCTGGGATTACAAGCTTACACCACCATGGCCAGCCCTACCCAGGTAATTTTTGATATCCCACAGGGCAAAAAAAAAAAACAAACATTCTTGGTCAAGTAATTTGGGAAGTAATTAGGTTATGTATCTTGCCAGATTTATAACTCATATGTAGAGGGCAGGAAGAAGTGCTATGTTAGACATGCTTCTTGTTCATCCTAAATTCCTTAAATGTGAGAAGGGAGCCCCTCACAGCTTAACATTTAACATTTGAAGAACAGTGATCAGAATGCTAATCTAGGATGTGGTTGCTTAGAAGGCATTCCAAATGTGGCCCACAGGAGGTTCCAGGAACAAACTGGATCCCAAACCAAGTCAGCAACGTAAGTGAAATTAACTGAAAGTTTAATTCAGCTAGTGCTCCAACAACATATAACATCTGTCCTATACCATACGTCTCTCACAAATGTATAAAGGAGTCCAGAGTAACCTTTCCCATGAGATTTTTTTCCCCTGGTCACATTTGAAACAGATCTCATCTGTATATTCTTTCTTCCCCACTAACCTATAATAAATCACAGTTTATGGAAGACTATGTCTGTTCTGTACTCCTACTAAAGTATATTAACTACCTGGTATTAGGTGCATAAATATTAAAAGAATGGACTAGAATAGAATAAAACTGATTCAGACTAATTCTATGGCAAGCCTTTAAAGAGCAGTGACCAAGATTCCAAATGTTGGGAGGTTAAAAACTGTGTGTGAAGAAGCTAACAGAGAACACATACGAATGATAACAGAGGATTGAGAGGCACACAAAGAATAGGGAAAGGCTGAATATTTTTTAGATGAAGGGATTAAAACTCCCCCAGTCATATTCTGTGCAGAAAGAGTTTATTGTATGTATTTTCACATTACAATTTGAATTATTTTGCAGCTTTCACAATGATGTAGTTTTATGGTGGTTAAAAAAAACATAAAATTTACCATTTTAAAGTATACAATTCAGTGGCACTACACTAAGTACTATGAAAATGTTATATAACCATCATCCCTATCCACTTCCAGAAATGTGTTTTTCAACTTTTAGGAAGGTTAATAATCACAAGAAAATAGGCTGGACTTAAATGATAGTAAGCTAGGATCTGAAATTACATCACTGAAAATTCTAATTGATGCTGAGCCCCAGGACCCAACCTTATTTCCCTTATTCTAATATGAACTTCCAAAGACGGTACAAAGTTAACTGGAATAAGTTAAAGGACCTTGGTCAGGTCCTTTTCTCTGGGCAAAAGTGTAGGATTGTGATGAGGATAGATCTTGTTTCCCCCCCTTACCCCATGAGGGGCCTGTTTCCTTAGAAGAGAAGCTTCTGGAAGGAGTTAGGGTGTTCTCAAGCAGGTGTTGCATGTGTGTGCATCTGCACAAGCAGCCTGCTGCAGAGGTAAAAGCAGATGGAGGGTAAGGTCCGGAGGCTGGTCTCTGGTTGTTTCCAGAACTAGCCCTTTCATGTCACTTTGACTTTAGTTCCTTCACTTTAAATGAGGGCTTTCCACCAGAATTCAAATTTGAATATCCTAATTTAGAGTAAATAGTTTTCTATCTGATTCCAGAATTTCCTGCAGACTTGTGGTCTTATTAAAGGCTCTCCTGAAGCTGATATGTGATGTGGCAAGAGACCCGAGCCTTACACCTGAGCCTGTTAAGAATGCCCTGCTACAGGAGGCCACAGATGGCCTGATCCTGTTGGACCGCTGCTCTCGAGGACAGGTAAAGGTAAGGCAGTCAGCAGCTGGTTTCACTTGGGCCTCCTTATACTCGGGTAATTCCTATGATTGATTAGAATTTACTGTTCATTTGCCTGGACAAGTCTGGAAATGAATATGGAGGGTTTTAGGTCTTCATATCTGTGCCCTCTGGTCTTCAATAGTTTTGATCAATACTTTATTCTTTTCTTTTCTCGTATTTTTGGTGCTGAAGATCAAACCCAGGACCTTGCACATGCTAAGGATGTACTTAGGATTGATCTATACCCTTAGACCCTTTTATTTTCCTTTAAAGTTACTCAGAACTCAGAGCAAAAGCCAAAAGAAAACAGGCAAAAGCATTATTACCAGAGTTTGTAACATTTAAGTTGTTCTTGTGAATTAAAAAAAAAAAAGGCAATGGGCTCTAAGCCACCAGAGTAATAGTAATTATTTAGAGTAATTCAGATACCCGAAATGTTTCCATTTTAAAGGGAGGAACTATCTCTTAGGTAGATGTTTTTCCATTTCCTGTATGTCCAAAATGGAATTCCTCCATTGGTTCCACAAAAGTCAACTTCTCCAGACCATAGCTTATTATAGCTATGTGTACATTTATATGTATGTAATGAACTAGTTGTCTCATTTCTTACTGTATATAATATAGAGATTTTTAATTGAAAGACTGAATGCAGCATGAAAAGAAATTTATATCCTAAAAATATTTAGAGATAGTATGGCTTTTTTTTTTTTTTTTGGTACTGGGGATCAAACTCAGGACCTCACGCTTGCTAAGCAGGCTCAGCACAGCTAAGGTACATCCCCGGCCCCTAGTGCGGCTTTTTTTTTGTTTTTCCTAGTGTGGCTTTTAATACGTGTTCTGACTGTAAGCTCTCCTCTAGTGTCATCCTTTTATTACTTCTTTGAATAGTAAGACAGAAGAATAAAGGTAAAAGGGGAAAAAACAATTCTGTAAAAAGTTCATGCCTGTTTGGTTCCATGTTTCAGGATCTCCTGGCGAGAACCCTCCTGAGCTGTACAGACACCACAGTGGTGAGCTGCATCAGGCGAGTGCAGCAGGACTCTGAAGGCATGTCCTACCATGGAATTTAAGAATATTTCCCAAGGGAAAGGTTCTTCTGTCCCATATTGTACAAATGGAGTGATGGAGAAAGGCATTTTTGTATTAAACATTTTAAATTGGAGTTTCTTTTTTCCTCCTCTTGTTCCTTTCACCTTAATAGGAACAGGGAAAGGTGAACAAGGAAAAATTGAAAACCCACCATTTTTAAATAAAGGTTAGGAGGAAAAAGAAATGGACACCAAGGAATTCAGTGCTTAAAATTTAGAAATATTCACACCCACAATCTTCATTCAAGCTCCAGGAACTCACCCGTGAAGCTTCTTGGATTCAAGCTGTCACTTCAGCACATACGCTATAAAAATGTTCATTCACGAGTTTTCTCCATTTACTTCACATTTCTTGCCTCAGTGAAGTAGCATAAATATTAAAAACACAAATATTGTGTGAAATATACCAAAGAGCAAAAAATGGGAGGTGCATATAAATGGAAAGAAGACCCTGAGCACGCTCAGTCCTGATTACACTTGGAGAGAAATCACATGGTTTTGGCCTTGGCTGTGGGCTCTGTCTCCTGCTCATACTCTATCTCTACATAGGCTCGTTTTCTGCGCAGAACTCCTTTCAAGGGTGTTTTCCCTTTGTGCTTTGCATTAAGAGCCTGTTCTTCCTCTTCACCGGATGATTTCTCATACTGATCTTCATCATCACTGGCCTCCAGTTTATCCATACCCTAATACACAGCAAAAAGGTCAATCAGGAAAGAAAACATTGGACTTTTCCAAACTCTTCACTGAGCAGAAACCCTCTAGTTTCTTCTGCTACAGGCCAAAGGGCTTTTATTTTTAAACCGCAGCTCACCTCAAAATCACTTAGGTCACTTTCGTCTACTTCATCATATTCCACAAATTCTCTTTTTCCTACATCCTAAAATAAACCAGTTATTAGGTTTAAAATACATAATGAAGATCCCTTTGAGACTGCAGCACAATTCTTTGATAAGTAGATAATATAATCAAAACCTACACATTAGATATTGGGCAACCAAAATTTAGTCATTCTCAAGTTTAATTCTGAATTTAAAAAAATTTTAGGGACAGAAAACTGTCATGCCTGATGTCAAACATCAGTGGTAAAACATCTTTAAAGTAGGGCCAAAAATGTTAACTTATAAACAGTTTGTTGGCTGAGCCTGCAGAACAAAGAAGCTACTGCTAAACCAAAATTAATTTCCTAATGATGAGAAAGGTGGGAAAATTATTCCAGCTAGAGAGCTAAAGATGATATTCTATCTCTAGGTCACTGCTTATCAAAAAAAAAAAAAAAAACTTACTTCCTCATCATCTTCATCATCTTTCTCCTCCTCATCTGAAGAATCACTCTCTGCCTCCTGTTGTTCCAGAGCCTTGTCAAAGGCGTGAATGGGGAAGTTGTAGATGTCGCCATACTGAAGAAGGAACAGATGACAGCTTTAACTGTGTGTGGGAATTGCACTTCAGTTTCCACTATTCTACAACCATATTATTTTTTCCTCACTGATTAAATGAGAATACTTAATATGATGAGGAACATTTCTGTATTATTTGCAAGCCTAGTGCTGGCCATTTTTGGTATTTACATAACCAGTGGTTAACATCAAATAGGTGGCCTATATGAGAGACAGAACCAAGTCATTAAAAGTTTAGTAGTTTATGAACCCTATCCATTGGGACAAATGGAGTTTTGTTGACAAGAGGCAATAATAACGTATTTTTAACATGTTGTCTGTAAATGACATTGATTTTTTAAAAGATTTTAAAACTTATTTCAAAGAACCTTAAAAGATTAGTGTAATACATGGGAGGAACCCTAAGGGTTTTACAAAGACCAGGCACTGCTGAGTTTGGAATGACAAACGAAAATAATGGCAAATGGCAAGGTGTCCTATAAATTGAGTCAAGGGTAATGAAAGCATTTTATGTGCTCCCACTGATGAACTAAAATGAGAAACCCAGGCCTATGTGAATTTCTTTTATTCCAAGGATAAAATCAGAGTGGGAACCTTTCTAGCATCTTTAAAAATAAAACACATTCCCCAAAATTTCTTAGCATGCTACCACTTAAAATCTGCTTATACCCCAGAGCTACTGGTTTTCTCACCGTGTCTTGTTTCAGTCTCTCCAGCAGTTCCTTCTCAATGGCATTGTCCAGCTGAGCAGCTATTAATGCCTTTTCCTGTTCAAGAAAAGAACAAACCCATTTGCTTCACTGGTGCTTTTTTCAGTCCATGGAGGTAGAAGAAACTACTAAGTTTTTAATAAAAAACAAAATTTAATCATGCCCCACTACGTACTATTGCTGGGGTTTTTGCCACTCCAACCACATAATTTCTTTCTTCTTCCCCCTCAAATCCTCTTGGGAAGCTTTCAATTGAAAGGTTCTGTTTTATAAATACTGTTTTAAAAAATGTAAATTATAGCTAAATGGATGCATATTGAGGCCATACTCAAGTGAAATAAATAGGACACACGTGTAAATACCGAATAGTTTCTCTAGTGTGAGAAACTGAAAGTGTAAATAAGGATGAAAATGATTAAAACAAAGAATTGATAATGTGAAATAGGAAGAAAAGGTCCAAAGGTGTAGGGGAAGTGGGAGGGGAAGGGGAAAGGAAAGAAGGGAAAGAAAAAATTATGAGAAAAGGAAAAAATGGAAACAAAGTCTTTGTAAATAGGGAAGGCCGCACAGGTAATGGGGAAAAAATAAAAACCAAGATACATCATGTACAGGTATAAGCACCCAATGATAAATGTAAATGTATTGTACACCTAAAATGTACCAATAAAAGAATTTAAGCAAAAAAAAAAAATACAGTAGTGTTTTAAAGTAAAGCCCTTAATATACCAGATATATGTGTGCATGCATTTAAGAATCTCAGAAAATTACCAACCCTAAACCCAAACTTTGTAAAAACTGAGGAAAAGGAAGTGACCTTCACCAATTTACAGCATATTTTCCAAATGATGTTAGATTTCATGTAATAGAAAAAAAGCTAAAAAGTCTCTTTTGTCAATGATCTCTTCAGACAGATAATAGCAACCTATACCACTTACAACCCCCCTCCCCAAAACAATTCAATTTACCTCTGTAAATTAAGATTTTGCATTAATTTGATAGTCCAAGTCTTAAGAGAGTTTTACATTGTTACACACAGAAGCTGTGTTAGAATGATAAGCAGTGTTTGGGATATATCACAAGGCTGGGAGATTAGGGGCCCATGGCTCAATTAAAAGGCTACACTGGATCTAGGCACAGTGGTGCATACCTATAATCCCAGCTGTTCAGGAGGACCTCAAGTTTGAAACCAGCCTGGGAAACTTAGCAAGACTGTCTCAAAATTTTTAACAGGTACCTGGGAATGTAGCTCAATAGTAGAATGCTCACAAGCATGCAGGAGGCCCTGGGCCCAATCCCAGTCCCTCACCACCACCACCACCACCACCACACACACACAAAGGATACAGTGATGTTCCACTTTGTTCTTTAGAGTGTGCTTACACCTCAGGAATGATCCACTGAGGTATAAGAATATATTCAAGACATATATTTTTTCCTTTAAAAAAAAATGTAAGCATTACTAATATTTTTCATGTATACTAACACTGATGCCTTGACTATATCCATAAAGCAAATAGTTCTCTGTCACATTTAGTGAACAAGATTATCTCCAGAGAAGAACATATTGAAAGTGGTCACCTCGCTCCTTTATTCAGATTGCTGCAGCATGTAACTAATTGGCTGGGGAAGTCAAGTGGATTTATAGATTAACTGGGTATATTGGAGAGTAACTGTAAAGGTATGCTGGTTATCTAATGGTGTATTTAGCACTTAAATACAGTTAAAAACAAAAGCAACATTTCAATAGTGTGTTGGAGGAACAAATTAATTTTAAAAATGTATTCTGTGGACATTTTAAAAGTGGGGCTTGGGATGAGGCACCAAGGACCCTTACCTGGTAAGTGCCAGGTCCTGGGTTCCCCAGAGTGGGGAACGTATGGGGGAGTATAGAAAAAAGTGATCTTTTCCATACATAATGTTGCTGAAAATGTTTCCTATAAAACTGCTAAAAATTAGCAAATAGAATTTTCCAATTCATTTAAAATTCTTCCAAATCTATTTTTCTCTTTTTTAGAGACTAAGATCCTACTATGTAGTCCAAGTTACCTTTGAAATCTCAATTCTCCTGCCTCAGCCTCCTGAGTGCTGTAATTATAGGTGTGTGCCACCATGTGTAGTCCCAAATCTATTTCTGAGAGTGCACCAAACTCATTTAAGGAAAAGTGTACAAGTTTAATTTATTCTGAAAAGTTTGAGAGAACACATTTGACAACTGGATAATAAGAAAACTCACCAGATGGACTTGAACAAAAAACCTAAGCATAATTGGAGAAGTAAAAATACGAAGTAGTTAATGCAAATAATGCATTTTCTGTATGTATCTTTGAGGTAGCTATCATTAAGACAGTGCTGAAAGGGGCCGGGGATTTAGCTCAGTGGTTCCGCCGCCTGCCTCGAAAGCGCAAGGACCCAAGTTTGATCCCCGGTATCAAAAAAAAAAAGATAGTGCTGAAAGATATACTTACTTTCAGCTAAGAACCAGACTTTTTCTAATTACAAACTTATTTATAATATACATTATACTGTTAGTGGAAGTATACATGTATTAATATTTACAAATAATATGTGTTGGGGAGTACATGTTCAAAAAGTGTTTTTGATGGAAAGACCATTTTAAAATGTGCGGAGACCAATGATATGACAGATTTAAGAAATAAGACCTGGTCTGAAGAGATGGCTTACTGGGCACGGCCTGGAAGGACTTTTCTTCTGCCCAGCTCCTCTCGTGAATTCTCTGCCTCTTGGACACCATGCCATGAGCAGCTTGTTGGAGCCAGCTGAGTATGGACTGAACAGTCTACCAACCACGAATAAAAATAAGCCTCTCCTCCTTCACTTGTGGGTGTCGGGTATTGTGTTTCAGAGAGAAGTAAAGTGAATATGTCAGCACTACATTAAGACATTGAAGGGTAGGGATGTAGCTCAGTGGCGCTGTGCCTGCCTGGCAAGCACAAGGTCCTGAGTTTGATCCCCAGTACCAGGGGAAAAAAAGACACTGAAGAAAAATCCATCTAATGAGAACATTGTTACATTTCACTGTAGAAATATTACTGTGTTTGGTTAGAATGCTCAATCTTTGCTGAAGGTAATATAATATACACGACTGGCAACATTAAGATTTTGAATTCTGACACACTGGACAGAGATCAAGAATTTCAGACCAGTTGTGGATCTCTATTCTTTCTGTCCTTCAGTACATATATCCTTAAAGCAATCATATTTTAACCTGCACCAAAAGTCATACATAAGAGGAAAAATTAGATATCATAAGCATTAATACTGTTATCCATTAGTGAATCATTATCTAGAAACAATATAGATGGAAGATGGTGACTGTATCTTTCCCATTCATCCTGCCTCCACCGTCCTCTCGAAGAAAACACAGAAGCTATGATTACTGAAACAGTGAGTTACCTCTCTTCTTTTCTCCCTTCGCTCCACCTTCTTACTCAAGGGAACAAGTTTCCTCCTAGGAGAAATAAATCACATTATCTGAAAATGTGGGTCCATATGCTATGAGCACCATAAAAAAGATAATTTTTTGTGGTGCTTCTGTGGGCTCAGATCAATACAGCAATTTCTACTTATAAGTTCTAGAAATTTAATGCTACCACAAGTCAGACAGTTTAATATGTATTTTAATGTAGGTGGTTTTGGTTATTTTAGGCATTCTGAGACTTGTATGGGTATTCATTATATACTAAGGTTAATGCCTCAGTGAACTAAAAAGACTGATATCTTTAACATTTTCTCTACACATCATAATGAAAAAACATCAGTGTCTAATATTTCTTCACAGGTATTCTATTTACTCTGTGGCTTTCTTACCACTTTTCATTTTTCAATGACTCCAGGGTAAAGTTCTTACATTCCTGTTTATTCCCATCTTTTGGATTATTTTCAAATCTCTAATGTTAAGATTCCCTCAGAAATAATAAACTTTTCTAAAGCAGATTGTTGGGCATGGAAGGGAATAATCAGGTGTACTCTACTGTTTCAAAAGTCAGACAAAATCAACACCTTTAAAGTTTCTTCATCTTAGCCTAGCTTAAAAGATTACAAAATGTTGAATCTAACAGCATTATTAGAGGATTTACAATCTCAGCTTTATAACATGCTCCATGGAAAGAAGGATAGATTTAAAAATAAATTGGCCCAAATACTTACTGTCGCTTTAGTGTAAGTTTTCTAATTCGAATCAGGTACTGGGTTATCTTGGTGAATCTCTGCTTACATTTGTGTCGAATGAAGCGAGGCCAGTAAATCAGATTTTCATCAATTTGTTCCAGTGCTTTCTCATAATTTTTACTAAGCCGGACCTACCAGACCAAAAAAAGGAAGTTTGTAGGGCAAGGGAAAATGATTGATTAGGCTGTCACTGTCAATACCACATGTAGGGGACAAATGGGCTGCTTTACAAGTTTAATCTAGAGATGGGCAAGGAGGAGGGAAAAACACGTAGCACTTTTGGTCTTCATCAGTGGTCATCACAGGTTTGTGGTTATGTCTTACCCGTTCCCAGAGACGCCTAGGAAAAGCTGCTCGTTCTATAACCTTCATATACAAGTAGCACTGCCCTAAAGCATAAAGTAGAATACACTTAATATTATTTAGAGATTAAAGAACATCTCTTTAAAGGATGTTTAATAGTTCTCATGGAAGTTAAAACCAGGCAGTTACCTTTCTCTTCTTTGACAGTGGCATACTGACTATTTGCCAGTGGACAAGATGACCGGTTACACAGTCCAGTCAGGCTATATTCATTTCTGCAAAAGCCTTGAGTCTTTGTTCTAGGATGGAAGGGAGGAAAGAAACAAAGATTATAAAATGGTTAGGAAGAGAGCAACTAAAAGATTTTAGTCTAAAATGCCAATCTAGACTTTACCGTATCTTGAAGGAACAAAACTGCTTGTTTCCTAATGTATTCCAAATAACCTATGAAACAAAGTAAAAATCCATTTCAGTTGCCCTGGCCCAACAGACGCCATATGAAGTAAAAAAGACAATACTCTAGGGCAGTGCCTACTTTACTAAGGAGAGGAATCTTTTTTTTTTTTGGTACTGAGAATGGAACTCAGGACCTTGAGCTTTTGAGGCAGGTGGCGGCACCACTGAGCTAAATCCCCAGCCCCTAAGGAATCTCTAAGGAATGAGAGGAAGAAATACTTTGTAAGAAAGCCTGACTTTACATGAATAACAGATTCTTGTACAAAAACTAAATGCAAATTAGTAAAAACTATACTCTCTCTACTCAGATAAAACTTCATTAGTATTCTGCAATTTTCCAGAATTTTTCTATACATGTATACATCCAACCAACTGTAATATGCCTACGTGTATATTTTTAACAAAAAATGAGAGCATATTACATATACTTTGTAACTTTCTTTACACAATGTGTTCATTCTACTGTTAAAGGTTGCATGGGACTGCATTTTAATACACATAACCACTTAATCTCACTGAAGGCAAGGAAAATTATTCCTATCCTTCACCAGCTAATATGCTCTTTATCCATTCAGTACTTACATACTTAATTCAGGTAAAGCACTGACATCTCCAAGTCTTGACACACAGTAAGCACTTAAGTATTTTTTGAAGGACTATATAGTCCTTCAGTTTTACCAATTTAGGGAGGGAGGTATATAAACAATGTATCACATAGTAGCAAAAAGCCATATAAAAGTGTGGGAGTGTAACAGGCTTTGAGCAATTGAGAAAAAGTTTTGAAAGTTAAAGGAAAAAAACCATACAAAGAAGGGTGAAGGAAGAGCACACGGGGTTTTATAGGGATGTCTGGTGGGGACAGAAGGAATAGGTAAGAGGAAGTAAAGCTGGAAAAGTAGGGTGCTCATTCAGGCTTGTGGTTTTACATATCATTTCTAAAGCGATGACTCCAAAATCATCATCTCTTTATTCTTTCCCGAGAGTCAGATTTGTCTGCCTCTAGCCTCCTACTTGACACTTCAACCTGGACATCTACAAGATATCATAATGGAGCTCTGAATTTCACAGCCCTCTGAAGAATAAATGTGGCACTCTTTCCACGGTCTTCTCCATTTCAGTAAATAAAATCACCACTGAACTATTTGTTTAAATCCAAAATCCTTTGATTTCTCTCCTTTTTTTCACTTAATCACCAAATCTTGTCAGTTGCACTGATAAAACACATCTGAAGTTCATCAATTTCTTTTCATTTCTACCATTACTACCCTCGTCTTTTTTGTTTTCATGCTTTTTTCCTCCTTCCAGCGTCCTTCACACAGCCAATAGAGAACTTTCACAGAGGCATTTCAGATGTCACCTCCCATTAAAAGCCCAAAAGATAGCTCCTAGAATACAAATTATCTTGCCCTGGCAGGCATATATACAACTCATTACTTCTCATTCTCTCGATTCCCTCGTACAAGGTACATTGGTGTCTTTATATTCCTTCCCTCTTATTGTCATATCTTTTTACCTTTACTGTTCCTATCTCCGAGAGTACTTTTAATTCGCCCCTTGCTGGCTGGCTCATTCTCATCTTTTAGGTCTGTGTGTCTCCCTCACGAGCACGTTATTGGAGAGCAGTTTTTTGGCTGCTTAACTACCAAATCCCCGGTAATTACAATGGCTGGTACATTGTAAGCACTATTTATCCAACAAGTAGCTCAATGAATGAAGCTGTTTCCAAAATTAAGGCTTCGGCAGACGGCAGAGCAAACACAAAGAAATACCTAACATGGGAAAAGCAGACTGAAAAGTCACACGTGCATAGATGCGAAGGGATCCTTAAATACGCAGCAAACATAAGACCCTTTCCCGCCTTCCCAAGTCCCAAAAGACTAACAGCACTGCAGAAAGTCTTATCACTAGGCAACGAGGACTGAGCAAGTCAGCCCCTGGGATGTGGTGGCAGCGTCCTGGTCTTTTAACCCGTTCGGGCAGCGAGCCGGGCTGGACACGAGTGTGACCCACTTTACAGAATCCGGTTCTGGACGTCTCGCGTCTGGAACTGCACGAGGCAAACAAATAAGCCAGCTGAGTATGTTTGTGGCTTTTAAATAAGTCCTAAACTGGGCGAAATTCCCTGCGCACAGCCGCGATGTCAGAACAACAGGAGGGGACTCACATCATCTGACTGCATGGTGTAAGCGGTTCAGGACGAAGCACCTGGTATGAAGAGAGAAGCCACGCTTCTTCCGCGGAGTCACTTCCGCAAAGCCGAGCCTCATCTCTCGCGAGAAACCCTGAGACTCTCGGAGTGCGTCGCATCCTCTGACGCCTAACTTCCGACGGATCTCTGCACCCGCCAGCGCCTGGTTGTCAGCGCCCGCCCGCCCAGCTTCCGTCCCGTCAGTGCGCGCTATGGGTCCACGCGCTGCGAGCTAGAGGATCGCGCGGAGCCTCTGGAGCGCCAAGGCTGGGTGTTTCCTGTCCTCGGCCCTGGGACAGGCAGTGAGCTTCGGAGAGGTGCGGACGGCGGTTGGGGCCTGTGCTCTTTGCCCCCCTTCATAAATTCTGAGCCCGCACTCCGCAATTTAGGCTCCGTCTTTTGTAGCCTAAACCGCGCTCTTCACCCCTACAGTCATCCTGCATGCCGTCGCCCTGGAGCCTCGCAGTCTTAATTCCCGAATTAGATAAGGCTTCAGATATCCGGCCGGCGAGGTAGCGCGCCCCTGTAATCCCAGCTACTCCCAAGGCTAAGTCCGGAGGATCTCACGCTCTAGGCGAGCTGAGCAGTTAGCTGAGTCCCTGCCTCAAAATTATAAATAGCAAATTAGAAGGGCTAGAGTGCTTTCCTACCACACACGAGGCAATCAGGAGGCTTCACAGGTCTCTTCAGCTTACTTCGCAGGGAGAAAAAGAAAATCCTTGATAGCTGATATAGTTTTATAAACAAAGGTTTAAAATGAAAGTGTAAGGATGGATTTTTAATTTGAAGACGTATCGCACACGAAGAAATTCAGTGTGTCGTAATGTAGTTTTGTTACATGCTGGTGAAAACGGCAATTCAGAACTATTGATTTTGGAGCCAAATTTAAGTTATAAAAACCAATGACCATTTGCTAGGTATCTTAAGGCAAATCACTATTAAGCCCTTCCCCCATTTGGAAAATGGGGTATTTGAGGATTAGAGGTATGTTAGATGCATAACTTGCTTCATAAAAAGTAGTTGTGATTGTTCTCATTACACAGTTGCCCTGTGCAAAGTTGGTTTAGAGACTAGAGGCGAGTTATAAACACAATGGCAGGAATAAAAGGCTGGGTATGCCCAGCACCTGCACAGCCGTGCCTTGCACACTGCTTTAAGGCAAGGAATGTGTGTTTCTATTTGATTTAATCAAACACTTTTTCATACCACAGATGACCTGTGAATAATTACCACATGTAAAAGGTGGCTCTGGTGAACATCAAACTGAAATGCATAATATAGAGCCCTCCTATAAGTGATAAATATGCCTAATTATAAGTAATGTAGCAATATAGGCTAGTTAAAAACTATAAAGTGAGGAGTGAATGTTTTCTTTCATCCTTCAAAAGCCTTTAATTCATCAAGTAGTTTTGGAGCACCAGCTAATGTGTCAGATATAGTTCTAGGAGCTGGGATGTAACACACAGAAATGCTCTGTGCCCTCAAGGAGCTTGCTTGGTAATGAGTAGGGAGTCAGAATAAGCAAATAAATTATGCTGTATAATGTAGTGTCAAGTAGTGTTGTTATAAATAATAAAGTCACTGGGCATGGTAGTGCAGTCATTAATCCCAGTTCCCAGGAGGCTGAGGCAGGAGGATTGCTTGAGCCTGGGAGTTCAAGGCCAGTCTGGGCAACATAGCCAGACTATGTCACAAGTAATAATAAGGTTATTATTAACAAGTTAATAGAAAACGGCTGCTCTTCTAGAAAGAGCTATCGGGAAAGACGAAGGAAGTAGCTTACTGGGGAACTTCAGTGTTATGGCTTGTGTCTAGATGTCCCACCAAACCCTCATGTGGTCATAGGTGGGGCTTTTTCAGAGGTGGCTGAATCTAGAGTGTGTGATGCTGGAATTAAGGCTGTGTGATTACTAAGCTAGTCCACTGATTGGTTTGGCACCTGCCCTAAGTCAGGTAGCCTAGATAGAACATAAAAGGGACAGAGAAGCTGCTAAGGCCCCCTTGCTTGCTTTGCTAGCTTCTGCACCCCATGAACTGTTTCTCCTCTGCAGTGCTTGTCTGCCATGCCACTCTTCCTTGGAGCCAGCTGATTATGGACTGAAACCTCTACAAACTGAGCTAAATAAACCTTTCCTCTTTTAACTTTGGGTGTCAGATATTTTGTCTCAGCAACAAGAAAAGTAGGACACTCGGTGAAAGTTTCTGTCAAGGCAGAATAACAAGCAAGTGCAGAGTCCAGACAGATGGAGATGCTTGGAGTGATCAAGAAACACGAAGAGGAACAGGTGGGCTCCATGGTGGGGAACAAGGGCAGGGCAGCAGGCAATGAGACTGAAGAGGAAGCTGGGCCTAGATTGCGCACAGTTGTACTCAACCCTTGTAGTCAGGTCAACTGGAGGATATTTAAACAATCCTGGTGCCCAGACTGTACTTCATACCAAACAAGAATCCCAGAATGTGGGACCCAGGCGTTGCTGCTTTGATGGCTTTCTGGATGATTCTGGTGGGTAGCCAAGGTTAGGACCACAGATGTAAGGATCTCTTTGGCTGCCATGTAAAATAGGGACCACACTCAGCAAGAAGACAGGGTAGACAATGATGAATGTAACTAATGTAACTGTACTCTATACCTAAAATGTACCAATAAACTTAATGGAAAAAAAAAGACAGGGTAGAAGGGCATTTCAGTAGTCCAGCAATGAAAAATGATGGTGACTTGAACCAAAAGAGTAGAGGCAGACATAATTAGAAGGATATATATATACACATATATATATATGTATATATAGTGTATGTTTGCAGTACAGAATAATGATGTTCATTTTGAGGAATTGATATATATAAGGTATCTTGATTATTTTTGATCCCTGCACTGCCTGTCTTATGTCCCCATCCTCCCACTCCCTTCCCTATCTCTAAAAGTATCTTCTTGTTTCCTACCCTCTTTTTATCCATTTATATGTTTATATTTTAGGTTTCTCATATTTAACTTTCTATGTCTGACTTATTTTGCTTAACATTGTGTTCTCAAGTTCCATCCATTTCCCTGGAAATGGCAATTTCATTCTTCTGTATGGCACAGTAACATGACATTGTGTATATGTACCATATTTTCTTTATCCATTCATTTCTTGTTGGGCATCTAGAGCTTAGCTATTGTGAATTGTGCTGCTATGAACATGAGATGCATGTGTCCCTGTACTATGATATCTTCAGTTTCAGAAATATGCCCAGGAGAGGTACAGCTGGGTCAGATGGAATTTCTAGTTTTAGTTTTTTGATCCATTCTTATTTCCATGGTAGTTGTAACAGTTTACATTCCCACCAGCAATGTAGAAGGGTTTCTGTTCCCTACAGCCTCCCCAGCATTTGTTGCTTTTTGTGTTCTTGATGATGGCAATTCTGACTAGGCTAAGATGGAATCTCAGAGTTGTTTTGATTTACATTTTTCTAAGTGTACAAGATGCTGAACATTTTTCATATCATTACTGGCTATTTGTACTTTTGATAAGTGTTCCGTTCATTTGCCCTTTTTCTGACTGGGTCATTTGTTTTGGGAGAGTTAAATTTTTTGAGTTCTTTATATATTCTACATGCTAGTCTTCTGAAGAGTAGCTGGCAAATTTTTTTTCCCGTTTAGTAGGTTGTGTTCACTCTGTTTCTTTTGCTGTGCAGAAGCTTTTTAATTTGGTATAATCCCATTTGTTTATTTATTTATTTATTTTTTGGTACCAGGGATCTAACTCAGGACCTTGAGCTTGCGAGCCAGGCGGCGGCACCACTGAGCCAAATCCCTGCCCCTTGTTGATTTTTGATATTGTTTCCTGCCTTATTGGAGTTCTTCTCAGGAAGCTCTTGCCTGTTCTTATGGTTTCAAGTGTTTCCCTTGTGTTACCTTCTAGCCATCTCAAACTTTCTGTTTTTGTATCTAGGTCTTTTATTCACTTTGATTTGATTTTAATACAAGGTGAGAGGGATCTAGTGCCAGTTCTGTACCTGGCTATTTAGTTTTCCTAGCACCATTTGTTAAAGAGGCTATCTTTTCTCCAACACACATTTTTGGCTCCTTCCCCACCCCACCCCCCGCTCCCGTATCGGGGATCGAACTCACGACCTTGCACTTGTGAGGCAGACGTGGCTCCATTGAGCTAAATCCCCAGCCCTGCCTTCAGGATATATTTTTAAGGTATAGCTCACAGGATTTGCAGATATGTAGGTTGGGTATGAAATGGGAGCGAAAACAGTCAAGGAAAACTTCACCATTTGGCGTCTGGACAATTAGGTGACCAAAGTGCCACTGGAAAGTGGAGATTTGGCAGTGGGCTACATGGAGAATCAAGTGATCAGTTTTAGACTTGTTAAACTTCAAATGACTTTTAGACATCCGAGTGAAAGTGCCCCCCCACCCCGAAGGCAGTTGGTATATAAATCTGGAGTTCAAGAGAGAAATGCCATCATAGATATACAATCGGGACTCATCAATATAAAACCATGAACTTGAGCAAGAATATGTAGGTCTAAAACACTGAAATATTTTCCTGAGATACTGCCTAAAATATTTTTGGAAATATATGCTCAGTTGCACAGTACTAAACTTATACCTAAGAATTTTTGTCAAATACTCAAAATTATGTAATTTCTGGAATCTTTTAGGCATTGACATTTTAAAAAGTTAACAATAACCCCACTTATCCGTGGTTTTTGCAGTTTTAGTTGCCTGCAGTCAACTCTGATTTGTAAGTATTGCAAGGATAATTCCAGAAAGAAACACTTCATAAGTTTTAAATTACTTTTTACTTTATTCAGTGTTGGGGATGGAACCCAGAGCTTCGTGCATGCTAGACAAGCACTCTACTACTGAGCTACATCCCCAGCCCCATAACAGTATATGATATAACTTTCCTATTTTATTATGCTATTGTCGTTAATCTCTTACTGTGCCTGATTGAGAAACTTTATCATAAGTGTATATGTATATAAAAAAAGGATACATAGTGTTGGGTACTATCCATGGTTTCAGGCATCCTCTGATGTCTTGGAAAGTATTCCCTGGAGATAAGGGAGGGGATAATGTACAATATAACTTGAAATATAAATGTCATAGATTTGAAGGCCAGCATATTTCATTTTTTTAAATGGAACAGTCAGAAATGTTAGTTTTCTTTTCTTCTTGAACATGAACATATTCCATTTCCCCAATAGAGTTTTATCCTAATGTGATATATTTTACTCTTAAATGATGCCTTCTTGATTATCCTATCACATTTTCAGCCACAAAATATTCTTATAAATTGAAGTAATTTTTAAAAAACTATCC